CTCCCCGACACTGATTGTTTTGCCTCTATCCTGTTTAGTGTGGCTGCTTTTTTGTCTTCCCCTCATCATCTACCATAGTTAAGCCCTTTTACAGACCTCTCTGTACAGTGTCTTTTGTGCTTGCACGACAAGTAGTTGATCTGCCAGCCCCAGGAGCAATAGACACCTGTTGCTGTTTACCTTTCCCAAAGCTTAATTTCTTTTCTTTAATTTGTGACTGTGAGATTCTTAAGGAAGGGATTACCTATTACATCTTCTTGTAAAGCACTTACAACACTTTGGATACTGCCAGGAGTAGGCATGTTCATACTACTCCTGCATGGTACTGAAATTCTTCCACAAACACCTACACGTTCTTCAGAGCTGGCAGGAGTCAAACTTGCAGTCTATCAGTAAAGCAGTTGGCTTGTTGCTTGTTATCCTGGTATTGGGAGTTGTTGAAGACTTGGGGTATAAAATGGGATGCTTAGGTAAAAGTCATTTTTCTTATCTCATCCACAGGGCAAATGAGATTGTAAATGATACTCAGTCATCATACCAGAAACTAGTCCTTCCCTCACATGGACTGGAGAAAACAGGTGAATATTCCCTTGAAAAGTGAAACCCTTGTTGCAAATAGCAAATTGAGTTTCAAATTTGATTTAGGGCTACCTCCAGTAAGACTGCTTCTATAGGATTCCAAGAATACCTCTCAATTTCCAGAACTTTCCACAGTCTTATTTTATGATTCTCAGGAAATCATTCTTTCCCTTTGGGTCCTCTCTTGCCATGAAGGACTTGGACTAAAGGAGTGGAGTCCTCTGTTCCTTAGGGTCTCTGCCTTCTTGCCAGTCATCTGGAGGCAAAAGGATAAAGTCTCTCTCAAGTTGCACGAGAGAAAATCCTTGTTGAGGACCAGTGCAGACAGACAACCACTTAGGATATAGCCACCGGAAAAGAAGGGTCTGAGCTGGGATGAATGGACTGGGACAAGTGAAACAGGGAGGGCAGAAGAATATGACTCAGAGCCTGAAGACGCTGCTGAGCTCTGCTGCACCAGGGAGGCCCCAGACCCTTCCTCGGCTGGTGGAGAAGGGCCATGCAACTGCACTGGACCTCCCGTGGTGCCTGGTACGAGGGTGCGCAGGAAGGGTTAGAACAGGCACGATTATCCTTGGGGCCATCCACTTGGTGACTGGGTGGTGTGGCTAGGACAGAGCTACTGCAGCTAAGCCCTGCAGCAGCACTGTGGGCCATGTCTGGTGCGAGCAGTGTAAGGAGGGTATAAAGGCAAAGAAAAGCCCAAGCTTCGACCCATGGGCAGAGCGGTGCTCATCCCCCTGCCCCCAAGTGAGCTCAGTTTTTTTCAGACTTGAAGTGATCTGAAAAACAGATACTTTAAAATGCATGAAGGTGTCTTCTGTACAGTGTCTAGACCATGAGGGTCTAACTCAGGACTGGGGCCCTGATCCTCCTGCAAATGTGGATCACACTTGTGGTGACACACTTGTGGATAAGTAAATGTGGACTTTACTTATGTGTGTGTAAAGTGTTGTTAGGACTTTGCTTCCTTACCTACAGTAGCTGAGGCCTGCACAACTTTCTTTGATATGTGGAAATAAGCTCACCTAAGCTTATGAAATGTTGTTATTTGCAAATCATGTTGAGACATAATGTAGACACCTAAGCTGTTCTGTCTCCAAGCTGGCTGAGTCCTATGCTGCTGTCCAAGCAGCATGCTTGCTGGCCTGCAGCTGTATGTACAGGTGGCTTTTCTGGTGTCTGGAGCACCGCAGCTGCATCTGGATAGCTCAGATGAGCTTTCAGCCTGTCAGACAGTTTTGTCTCACTAGGTAAGACAGGTATTTTGGAGGATGCTGAGGGCCTCTCTCCCGTTCTTGCGCATTGCTGTTATCTTCCCTCCTGCCAAAGAAACAGCCTGGGGAGGGCTGTTGGCTCCCTGCTCTGATGGCACCAAACAGCTGCAGTCACAGGCAGTTTCTGTGGCTTAATTGAATGTGGCGCCTGGTCAAAGGGACAGGACAGGTGGAATTGCTCCAGGAGAGGCCTGATTCTTGTTCACATGGTGTGAAGCCATTTCAAAATGAAAAATTTCACTATTGATCCCAGGAGTAGATTAAGAACTAGAAATTACAAGGTCAACATTAGCACCCTTTCTACTCAGCAGATCCATCAAACGTCCTCCTCTTCCCTTTCCTGAAGAATTTAGAGAATTTTCTTCTTGTAATATAGCTTTATACAAAGAAGATCTTATTTAACAACAGCTACACTGTAGGTCAAACAAGTGGGTAGTTCATGTTTGTAATCTGTGAAATAGCTAACCCCCACTAGCTACTGCAAGCAGTAGCTAGTTAATCTCTCTAAAGCAATAAAAGGTCTTAACTTCTTTGAAGAAGGTGCCAATCCACATGGAATCTACACACAAAGGAATCTTTTGGTGTAACTGCTAGTCACCCTTCTTTGTACATCTTTCATAAGCTGGCTGTTGTAAACTCCGTTCTGTAAAAGTCTATTGCTGAAACAAAAGTTACGTTTTCTTTCATCAATTGTAGGTCATGACCATGCCATTCTGCTTATAGAATTGCTATAACCTGCAGCAGAGCCTTCCTAGGGGGTGTTTCCTTACACTAGGGAATGAGTTTCCCTCTTCCAACAACAATTCCCTTTTGAGAGTAGTTGATGGTAGTCAGAGTTAGATAGAGGGGGGTATCAATAGTTCAGAACTGTGGAAAGATTAGATAATGGGAAATAACTTAGAAAAGTGTCTGCTGATATGTAGGAAAACGATATGTTAACAGAGATCTCTGTTAGTGACTGAGGATCTTGGAAATTATTTTCCTTAGATAATACTGTAAAGATAGTTGACATTTAGGGTTAAGTGGCAGTAATGCTAGAACGAACAAATTCATCTTACGCTCTTTTCCAAGTTTTAAGAAACTACAGGACACAGGCTCCCAGGTACATCTGATGGAATATCTCTAAGTATAAGCTAAGTAGGACCAAATAATGCAATACCATGAGTTATTAAGACTGCACTTTGGTTGGTATAGCTAAGGATCCAAATCCAAATGTTTCTCCAGAAATAGCTCCTTGTTTGCAGTGGGACTGTGTTATATGCAGTGCTGTGGAAACGGTTCATCTCCAAGAGTCAGAGGAGCTGGATGAGATGTTTGCCTGAGCCATGTGAATGTCCCACATCACTTGGACTTTTCTTGGGGCTCTCTGCCTTGTTCTGCTCTCTTACGGGGTGTGCCCTGAACACATTTATCTCCCTGCTTATGTCCTAAATGGCTAAGGTCTCTGACTGCTGCCACTGAGAAACTTCCACCACAAAGTTAAATGGTGATGAGAAAGACATGAGGCTAATTGTCCTGAAGAATCCAATAAAACAATGTGGTGGGTAAGACTAATCTACTCCTAAGATTTTTTTTTCTTTTTTGGTAGTCAGCGTTACAGGTATTCTTGTATTTTGTTAGATTAAAAGATAAATAAATGCACAGCACAGGGTTTGTCCCCAGGGCCCATGACATGGCTGTGATTGCAGCATTGATATCATCTCAGCTGAGCTGTCGTCTCATCACTGAAATGAGACCCCTACATGACAGTTCTCTGTCATATACCTACTCCTGCATTTTTGCTAGCTGTACCTGCTGTGAATGATTCTTTTACTACCCTAACTTGCCTGATACCTCAGCTCTAGCGTGGCAATGCCAGCAAGGATTTTGCCGTTTTCTTTGGAAGACTATTTCATGGTTTGACTGGTCATAGCTTGATCCTCCAAAGCGTATCTTGCTGTCCCTTTCCCAATGCCATGCATCTGCTTTGTGGCCACACTCCTTCCCAGACCATTTCAAACATCACCTCTACCTCTTCAGTGCCATAAGGTATTAGAGGATGACAAGCTGGGTGAAGTAGTAGCATGTCCTGGAAAGGGATGCATGTGTCCTATTGTGCAAATTTTATGCTGGCACTTTCTTTCATATTTCCTTACTCTGTCTGGAAGTGAGGTAAATGTCCCCATGTAGCAGAACTGGGAACGAGCCCATCAAATCTGTCTTCTTCCTCTGAAAACTGGAAGTTCCCTGAAACTTCCAGTATTACCCTGAAAAAAATAGTGGCCTTTGACCAGGGCAGCTGGAGTGTGGGAAAACAGCAAAGGGCTGAAGTTTCATTGTAGGCAGGAAAGGGGAAGGGAAAGTGCACGGGGGAGAGACGGGCAGAGAGACTGCCTGCAGGGCGCGAGTCCTCCAGCTGCAGCCCTGGGGTCTGGGCAGACGCTCCTGGTTGCGGGAACCCCCAGGCGAGAGCC